CTTATAGTTTCATGTTGAAAATATAAGGACACTTGGTCCTGAACTTCAAGTTCCAAGTTCAAAAGGTAAGGACACTTGGTCCTGAACTTTGACTTACAAGTTCAAAATTTAAGGACACTTGGCCCTTAACTTAGAGTTATAAGTTAAAAAGGCAAGAACAGACAGTCCTTAACTTATAGTTTCAAGTTGAAAAGTTAAGGACACTTGGTTCTGAACTTCAACTTTCAAGTTCCAAAGTTAAGGACACTTGGTCCTTAACTTCAAGTTTCAAGTTCAAAAGTTAAGGATACTCAGTCCTTAACTTTGAGTTTCAGGTTCAAAAGTTAATATCGCTTGGTCCTTAACTTTTATGAACACAGTTAACTAAAAATTCATAAACACAGTTACCTTATGAATTCGTACGACTATTTTTATGAAATGTCCTTATATAATCAAATATATTGATTGAACCACAAACACATTTCAATAACAAAAATTTCTGAATAACAACCTCACAAAAATACGCTACTTATTCGACACTGAATCAACTTATAATCATTGTTTTTGAAATTTCACACATACTTGACACAACATTGATTGCGATTACACAAAAACAAAATGCATAAAAGCAAAAATAAAATAAAATTACCAGTTCGATCGTTTGATGCAGAGAAGATGACATAGAAGATGAAGAAGGAGAAAGATTAAGTGCAGCTGTTTGCATGCGAGGACGATACAGATGAGGAGCATGCGAAACTTGCCCTGAAATTTTCGCTCTCAAATTTTCCCTCTTCTTAATGAATAAAACAAGGGTTTAGGAATATAAGAATTGAAGAAAGGGTGGAACTGTCTTTTTCCTATTAGTAGTGGCTATTTTTGCTGAGCATTATAATTAGTGGATAAAAAATAAAGACCACCTTACTTAGTGGCTACCACATGCCATTTTTACTTTTACATATGCCTCAGCGAGGCGTAAGCCCCATAAGTATTTAAATTTTAATATTCTATAAAATAATATAATTATAGTAAATATTTATAAACTGGTAAAATTGCATAAAAAATAAAGAAAACTATAAATATGTGATATATATATATATATATATATATATATATATATATATATACGCTTCATTCCCACAAAAAGCTAGTCAAAACAATCTATTATATGTTACTTAGAAGCTCAAGTAACTTGAGTCGAAAAGAATTAGATGAAGGAACAAAAAGATGACTAACCTACAATTTGAACTTTGAATTTGCTGCTATGAAGGAGAATGAAGTTCTCTTTGTATTTGTAAAAAAAATGAATATTCATTGCTTTTGAGAGATATTAGCAGACTAGCGGATAAGATAAAGAATTAGGAAAGATCATGAATTGGGGCTTCAATCAATAAAAAGGGTCTTAACTTTTAAATTTAATGCATTTCAGTTCCTTTTTAAAACTTTTGAGTAATTACCAAACTGAATTTTGATAATTTGGGTATTATATGAATGACTTATTTAACAAATTTTGTTTTAATTTGGAAAAATATTTGGGGCTTATGCCTCACTAAAAAAATGCACCCCGAACGCCCGGGCGTACGCCCCGAATTGCTGGGCATACGCCTTTTGAGACTTTCGCCCCACACCATCGCCCCAAGGCATTTTTGGTACGCCTCGCCCAGTGCTCGTCCCGAAAACGCCTTTTAAAACACTGGTAACAGATTATACATCAAATATTTTTCAATCAAGCTATTAACTATACTAATAATTATAGGCGATTGCTTGTAGTTAGAGCATTTTTGCCTTTTATCTTCCATTTCAATGGGTCGAACAGCCAACCTACCAGTTGATAATTAAGATTTTCTATCAATGAAACAAGTCACACTCATTGGTTGTTACTTGTTTGTGTAATTAATCTATGGTAGTAAACTTATTAGTGTGCGACAATTACCCACCTCATCTCCCTCCCCCCCAAAAAAGAAAAACAAACTTAGAGATGGCAATGGGGCGGGGTGGATGCGGGACGGGACGTGACGAATTTACTCTTATGCGGGTGAGGAGCAGGGCGGGGCGGGTTAAAATAATTTTAACTTTTTTTAAAGCAGGTGGGGCGTGGCGGATTGCGGGTTTAATGCGGGGCAACTTTGAATTTTTTTTTTTGAAGCAAACTAATCATTTTAACTATAATTTTACATTCTTCTACACTAGCACCAACAATATGAGGGAATAATAAGTGGAATGTGGGTCCCAAAGTGTCAAAATCTCTATCTCACAGTCATTTGTGCCTAATTTTTAGAATCACGGAGAAGAAAATTTAATTATTTGTAAATTTTTTCTTTGCTATAATAATATATTATGCACATAAAATTATACATACATAAACCTTATAGAATAACCATATACATAGTTCAATTTTATTGCCGGCATAAAATATATGTGGGGCGAGGCGGGCGTGTTTAATTGCGTCTTGAGTTTTTTAATTAATCATATTTGAATCATGCATTTCAAGAAGTACGACACATCCGTGAGGGGAAAAATAGAACTTTGTCATTTAATTTATAGTTGTTTGCTTTCCAGCAAGATACATGCCTTCTTTATTAAATATATTTTTGATAACATGCTTCAAACTACTAATAAAGAGAATAATAAAACTAAATATTTTGGTTTAATTTAGTGATGCTAAACTAATTAGCAAAAATGGAGAAACCTAATTATTCATAACGAAGTTTGTATTAGTCGGAGATAGAGATCTTGTCACTTCAGCAGATAGTTGATAGAATATGTTTCGTAAAATAACTATTAAACTCTCCATTTTATAAAAAAATAAAATGTCAAATTAATTTGTTTTTTTAAAAAAAAAATTTAAGTGAGGCAGGGCGGGGCGGGTCCAAGTGGGTTGAAAATTGAAAAAATAACTATGCGAGACAAAGCGGGACGGGTTAAAATTTTTGTGGGTTTTGCCAAACCCACCCCGTACCGCCCCATTGCCATCCCTAAACAAACCCCAAAGAAAAAATAATATTCTCAGTGACTCGAATTAATGGGTGCTTTCATGACTCGAATTATTAACCTATAAATTATATAAAGATAACTTTATCGTTGCTCAAATGTCTTCCTTCTCATTTGTTCATGTAATATTTGAAATTGATAATTTTGCTCTTCGTTAAATTTTCGGCCTAATATTGTTCTCATTTTCAAAGGCAGTTTTACTTTTGTTCTTGATTCCAAATAGAGGTCCAGCTTGACGTTATTTTTAAACCATAATAAAAAAATGAGAGGTAAATTAAGATTTTTCTCTAGAGGAACTCGACACAAAGATAGGCGCAGATGCAACATTAGGAGGGTGAAATTCAAAACTAGTCAAATTTACAAGTGGTAATTGAAAAATAGTCACAGTTTCAAAAGTAATCAAAATGTAGTCACTTTTCATGTAAAGATAAATCTGAACGAAAATACTGTTCAAAATCTGGAAAATATTCAAGCATAATATACTAGAAGTTCATACACATATGCTCCAATCTTCAGTTACTGGAACTTTCCGTGTGTTGGTGTTCCAGCATAATATGTTGTAAGTTCATATACATATGCATCAATCTCTAGTATATTATGCTGGAACTTTCCGCTTTACAGCAAAATAGTGGCTATTTATCAATTACCAATTCGAAAACTGACTAACCCGTGCTATTTTCATAACATAGGAGTATCAGATTCAACACTATAAGTTTTAAAAGTTGAATTAAATATAAAGTTTAAATTTTAGATCATACAGAATTCATTTTTCAAATGTAACAAGTACAAGATTATTTTGCTTATGACAAAAATATAAATGGATCAAAAGTGTAACGGAAAAGGTCCAAAAATATCCTTGAACTATTCAAAATAGCTCAAAAATATCCTTCGTTTGTTTTTGGTGCCAAAAATATCCCTGTCGTCTATGTTTTGGCCCAAAAATGTCCCTAAACTGTTAGTTTTGCCATTGAAGCTGACATGACAGTCCAACTAGGTTAGAATTGCTTACATGGTCGTCCACCTAAGCAATCCATATGTGAAAATTATTTTTTCGAAAATTTTATTTTTCCAATTTTTTTTAATAAAATATAAAATCGACATTTATTCTGAAAAAAGTAAAATATTTTGAAAAAAATATTTATTTCGAATTTTTTAAATTAAAATACAAAATCAACACTTATTCAGAAAAAAGTAAAAATTTTATGAAAAATTATTCTTGATTGGGTTTATGATTTGATTAAAAAAAACTCCATTGTTCTCTTATGTGAATTTATGATTAATTTGTGAATTTCAGAGTTATGTCTTTGAATGCTTTTGAATCCAGTAATAGCGTAGTTATGTCTTGGAACATTATCCCTGTATAATTTCAACCCCATTCTTTAGCTCCCAAAAAAAAATTAACACACAACATTTACAAGAAAAAAATTAAAACTTTATTTGTACAATAACAAAGACACTGGTTTCTTAATCCTAAATAAGTTGGGGTCGGTTATACGAATTCTCGATATCTATAATCATAAATTCACAAAAGAGAACAATGGAGATTTTAATCAATTCATAAACCCGAATCAAGAATAATTTTTTCGTAAATTTTTTACTTTTTTTTTCGGAATAAGTGTTGATTTTGTATTTTAATTACAAAATTCTGAAATAAATATTTTTTTTCGAATTTTTTTACTTTTTTTCAGAATAAATGTTTATTTTGTATTTTATTAAAAAATTCTAAAAAAATAAAATTTCCGAAAAAATAATTTTCATATATGGATTGCTTAGGTGGACGACCACGGAAGCAATTCTAACCCAGTTGGACTGCCATGTCAGCTTCAATAGCAAAACTAACGGTTTAGGGGCATTTTTGGGCCAAAACATAGACGGCAGGGATATTTTTGGCACCAAAAATAAACGGAGGATATTTTTGAGCTATTTCAAATAGTTCAAGGATATTTTTGTACCTTTTCTGAGAGTGTAATTGCGATAAAATTTGAAACCTTTTTCCGAAAAAAAAAAAGAAATAAAAAAACGCTCCAAAACGAATTCCAAAAAAAAAAAAGCGCGACCTAACAACCCTTCACGAATCACATTCTAGTCATGAGCTACGCCGGCCACGTTCTCTCCCTTCCCCGTTTAACTTCAGCGCCGTTTTCCCTTCTTCCTCCGCAAACCACCGCCGGCACGCTCTTCTCTACCACCACAGCAAACCACTCTCCTCGCTTTACTCCCCTTAAAATCCACAACCTGTCTCTTCGCCGCCCTTCAGCTTGCAGCAACAACCATAGTGGCGGCGGTGCTGATGGAAATGATGGCGGCGGCGGTGACAATGGAGGCGGCGGTGATTGGTGGAGCAATTTCTTCAATTTTAATAACAAAAAATCTCCTCTCCTCCTCCTTCCATTTTCCCGTAACGAAGATAGTTCTATTATTGATTCTATATTATCATGTAAGCCACTGCTATTGTTCTTCGTATCAGCTTCTTCTTCAATTACGTGCTGCTTAATATTAGCTTCGTTCGTACAAGCAAAAACAAAAAACGAAGAAAACTGTAGAGAAATTGTGTATGAAATTAAAGGAGGAAGGCGGATTGAACTTGAGCTGGATAATTCAAAGGATGAATTTATTCTTCCGAAGACAATGTGGTCACGTTTGTTATTTAACCCTAACTCCTTCTCTTCGGGTAGTGGTTATGTTTCAAATTTGTGGATGCAATGCAAGGAATTAACGATGAATTTGCTGTTGCCTGAGGGGTTTCCGGAGAGTGTGACGAGTGATTATTTGGAGTATTCAATCTGGAGAGGGGTTCAAGGTCTTGCTGCACAAATTAGTGGTGTTCTTGCTACCCAGGTAGTATTCCTTCTCTTGCGTTAATTTTCTTGTCAACTGTAACCTTTGCAACCAATGCAACTTGATACACATGTTTTTTTGTGGTTTGACTACATATGCAAAATGTGAATTCATAAGGCATAGTCGGCCTTAGGACTGGAGATAAAGAGAAAGGTAGATAGATTGTCGTTTAGAGTAAAACTAGTCTCGCTATTGCAAATACCATGAAAAATGATTCAGTGAAATCAATATATATGATTTCGGTGATTCAAATGTCTTCCCATCTACTTGCATCTTGATGGGTAGAATTACCTAGTACCTATATTGGTGGAGAATGAAGGTAGTAGGTACTTGGTAGAATGTCGAGGTGCACAAGCTGTATTGGACACCACTGCATTAAAAAAGAAGAAGAAATCAACAAATATGATTTATCTATCCTGAAGCTATGTGGTTTGGGATTGGGGTGAAGCTGAGTTGAGTCTAGTGGTTGACTAAAGTGGAAGTCCAATAGATTTTGTTATTTAACACTTATGCTCGGACCAGCTTATGTGCACTGCTACTAATCTACTGAGTATGCATACAAGCAAAGGTTAGGCACACAAGGTTGGAGGAGACTAAACTCGCATTGAGTATTGCAGCTGGGATTCGAATATGGGATGGGATCTCCAAGTTGTTACTCCCTATCTCGTCAACCACTTCGTCACCCCGTCCGGACGAAAGTCAAATAGATTACATATATGTTTTTCTGTTTTTTCTTTTCTTCTTATTCACCTTTGCTGTCTTGAATCATCTTAGGAAGAAATTCATAGGAGAGCTGCTGATAGATTTTCATTCTTTGTTCTGTGTAGGCCTTACTTTACGCCGTTGGATTAGGGAAAGGAGCTATTCCTACTGCTGCAGCTGTCAATTGGGTGCTTAAGGATGGCATTGGATATCTTAGCAAGATTCTTTTGTCAAATTATGGCAGGCATTTTGATGTCAATCCTAAGAGCTGGAGGCTGTTTGCAGACCTTTTGGAGAATGCTGCTTATGGGCTGGAGATTTTGACCCCTGCCTTCCCACATCTGTTTGTTCCTATCGGAGCTGTTGCTGGAGCAGGGAGATCAGCCGCTTCATTAATCCAGGTAATATTTTTTAAGCCAAGTATGTATCCAATCATGATTAAAAAGGGGCAAGGTTCTGATCAGCATGTTGTTACTGCAAATGAACTATATATTGCTGGTATTGTGTCTTAAAGATGTACTGCAAGATTCCCTTAGGCGTTTCATTAATTTATGTGATTTATATCTTTCAGTCCAGGGACCAATTGGATGTTAT